AATATTGCTTGGAGCTCGGGGGCTCATGTACCACCCAACTCGGCCAATCTAAGTTAGCATCTTCTGCTCGCTTGTAATGAACCTTCAGGTGATCACCATAAAGTGAAATCCTAGGCGATTACCTCCTAATGGTTAACAGGTTATCCTCTCACCTATTATCTCCTAAAGATCTGAGATCACCATAAATCAAATATATTATCGTTACCTAATTGATAAGAGGATCTACCTATTAAATAAACAATATCCTATCATTAATGGATAAGATATTTTCCTATTTTGAATATCCAAATCTCAGACTTAATGATAAAAATTAGGTTGCTTTTGGAATACACATTAGAACGGGACAGGACATGAGTTATGTTCCCTATTTGATGAAATTAAAAGGGAGAACAGAATGGGACACATGATTAAAATAGTGGAACACTTTTGTTTCCTAGAAAAAGGTGGAACCAACTGGAATGGGACATGACATTTTATTAAACATTTTTTAATGACAAAAGTACTACTACTTATCTTTATAACTCTTTCACCGCACACCCAACTAAAAAACAAAACCCTTGTCGCAATCCTTTTTGGTCCGACATTATTCATTGCTCTCTTTTTCTCTCCTTGCACTGTTCGTTGCTCCCACTGCATACAAGGACAAAGCCAATTTTTTTTTCTCTTTTGTTGTGTATTTGCATCATTAGAATTTTTGTGCTTTGCTATTTGCATCATATAAATTACTAATCATTTGTATTACTGTCGTTTGCTAATAGAGAGAATGTTGGACCCATTCAAATCAAATCAATATTGTTATCTATCTATCTATCTATCTATCTATATATATATATATATATATAACAAGTAATTTAGTTTTTTTTAGTAAATTTGGCTTGTGAGACTATTGGATTTGTTGTCTATTTTTATTTTGGTTTTAGTAAATGCTTGTGTTGAAGCATTTGTTGCAAGTGTTTGCATAGCAAATAATAACATGACAATGTTGACTCAAAGCTTTGCACCTCCACAACGAGAACATAAATTGGTTTCGAATGAACTTAAAAAATTAAACTTAACTCGTGCTGATCAAATTGAAGCAACTATTAGGATTGCAAAATGTCCTACACTTACAGGGCTGTTACTTAAGATGAAAAGAGAGGATCGAGTGGAGTTTGTTTATAGGGTGCTTATGAGTTGAAGCATACATTACTACAAAGTTTTATTTTTTTATGTGTTTTATTTTATTTCCTATGATATTGAAACTTGATGTTTTATTTTATTTTTTGGCATAAGAATAATGTCATTATTGTTATGATGAATGCATTTATTTAAAAATTTACAAGTAAAATTTTTAATATTATTTTTTTATTTGAAACTTTTTTATATAGTAATAACAATACATTTAAGTTAATTGTATTTTATAAATTATATTTTATCAAGTATTTCATATTTACGTATTTAGAAAATAATTTATAAAATATAAATATTAACATATTAATAACTTTTAAGAATATTATATAATAATAGTCATAAAATAGTAAATGTGAAAAATTGTTCTATTATGTTTTGTTTAGTTTTTTATATTTAAAATTAAGAAAAGATAATTACTGCAAAGTCCATGCTTCACTTTTGTTGCTAAATATCTATATTTCTATACTATTAATAAAAGGATGCTCTTTTTTGACATAGACAAATTTTGGACTAATTTATTCTTTTAACTACCTCTAAATTAATTTATCTTTTATTTATTCATTTTTTTCTTATTTTTATTTGATCATAATATTCAGTATTAATCATCTAAATCTCTTATACTTTAACTATGGGAGATAAATAGTTATAAAAAATGGAATGAGAAAATAAATGGGAAAAAAATAGTTAAATAATTGTTTGGTTATATATTTATAATTATAATAATAAATTTATACATTTGATTAAGTTATCTTCACAATTTAAAATTTTTGAGTTTGTCACTAACTGACCATTATTTATAAATTTAAAGAATAAAATTTACGTTTGATAAATTTTTATAAATACAAAAGATAAAAAAGGAAAACTTTGCTTTTATAGAATTAAAAACGAATGCTGTCTTATTTAAATGGATATTTAAGTCGATTAAACTATATAATCCTTTTCCGCTCCAAAATCCACAAAAATTAAGATGTCATATATATTCAGAGAACTTATATAAATATTATGCGATAATGTATACGAGATATGAACATTAAAGCACACCAAAAACTGAAAATTTGAAAACTTTCGTTAGAAATATTTCTGAAAATTTGTTTTTCATTGTAATATTCTTTCCCCAGCAAGAAAATTTTCTACAAAAAGTTTTTTCTTTTTTGTATATTACATGACATTAATTCTCTCCATTTCCAAGTAACTGTGTGATCTAGGTTCTTAGTTAATTAGAAGTATACTCATGAAAATAAATATTAAAGTTCGTGAAATTACTTAATATTTCTACAAATTGAAAATATAATATATCTCTATCAACAATGCATTTATTAACGATTTATTATTAGTTATCTTATTAATATATATAGTCTTTGTTGAACAAAATTTTAATTAGACTATTGCCGTTACTATGTCATTTTTCTTTAAGTGTCACAGTATCCTGTTTGTATGCGTATAAATCAGAAGAAACTTAAGAAGGTCCATTACTGATGAACTAGTTATTATTATTTTTTATTTTTTATTTTTATTTTACTTTTTTCATGATTTAGAATGACAAATAGATGATTATTTTAATAAATAAAAAAATGATAACTTGAATCAACCTGCTCTAAAGCAACTCATATAGTGCTACCTTATTTTATACCAAACTTTTATCTTTTCATTCTCTTTAATTAATCAGTTTGGTTTTGGCAAGAATGACACGCGTAAGTAGGGTTAGTTCTATTCGATATTCATGCACAAATACCAACCCACCTTCCTTTTAAAGTTCCTTAAAATCGTGTCATCCTATGTTATAACCTGAAAATTAGGTAGCATAAATCATCCTTGTAAAGGAAAAGCTTCCTTCGTGGAGGAAAATGCTGTCTCTATCTTATAATAATATTCTGCAAAAACACCCAATGATGATGATGATGACCTTAGAGAAAGCAAGTATCACACATACTCAAATGTGATGCATGATATTTAGCCACTTTAGAAAGTTCATTTTGTTACCTTATGTGGTTTAATTAATAAGCTTGTAACATCTTTGTCATCTTTAGAAAATGGTACAAATAGAGAAGGGAGAAAATGCTGGCCAACTTTAGATTTTCCATATCCATGATTGAGATATTATTTAGGTATGTCAATGCAAATAATATCATGAGTAGATCTAAGTGAAGATATGTTAGACGAATTTCTGTGCTCAAACAAATTAACCTATTGTCAACTTCAGTGTAAAGCTAACGTATAAGTAAATAATTAGAAGCCAAAGTTTAAAAGTTTGGTCCCAGCTAACACAACTTGATCAGAAGTTGCTTTATATCTTACGAAAGATGAATAGTAAGTAAAGGGTAAGGGCATACGTATATAAAACTTTTTCAATGTTTTCTTTATAATAATAAAAAAACAAACTTAAATTTGCCTTTACCCTCAATAAAATTTCGTACTCCACTGCTTATAGGTGGGTTTTATATGAATATGTTTATCCTAAAAATTGTTGAATCGAGTTATTTTAAAATATTTTAATTTTAATTTTGAAAATATAAAAATAAAAGACTAGTGAAAATCACACACACAAATATAATATATATATTCATGTAAAACTAGCAACCTACACTTAATATATTCTAGAGAAAATAATTCTTTTAAAAATAATTTAAACTTTGCATTTAAATATTGTTATCACATGTGACCTGATAATAATATAAACGTATGATTTATTTCTTTAATTTAATATGGTTGTTTACTCCTCCTTCAAATATAATGAATTTCAGATTTGGTTCTCAAATGGATTATTAGTTTTAGTCTTGAAAAGTTCCAAGTTTTGAAAATATATAATCTTTATCACCATATATATAATAATGATGCATGTAACATATATATACAAATTTATCATGTTACAAGTTATCTTAGAGTGATGACTAACATTAGAGTGATCACTAACATGACATTCATGTTTAAATAATATGAATTATTATTAAATGACGATGACAACGATCACTTAAAAACAAAGTAAATTTATAAAAATCAAAACTAATAAGAAAAATTAAAAGACTGCAATCAAATTCAATCTTATTTTTGTGAAAAAAAAGAAGAAGTCAATCTCTTATTTAGAGAGACTAAACATGTTTAAACAGTTTTTCATAATATAAGTTAATTTCACTGACATGCTGCTAATAAATTTTTCATAACTTCAACAAACATATATAATTTAGAAATAAAATTATATTTATTTTTTGTTATTTATCCTTGTCTCATAAGTATTAATGTTCTGTCATTTTTTTATTTATTTATCCTTCTCTTACAAGTATTAATGTTCCACGTGTTATCTTTATATCACAAGTATTAATGTTTAACATGACAGAATAGCCAATTCAAACATGTTCTTATTTGGCTGCATTTTATTCAGTAGTGTATCAAGTATCAATTCTAACCCTAAAGCATTAACTTTGAACCTTCCAACAAAAAAATTTTAATTACGAGCAAAAAGGCCTTTTAGTTACTCTCTTTAAAAATATGAAAGTGTTAGCTATATTAATAATTGGAAAATTAATAAAATTTTCCCTATGAGTATAACAACATTTCAACAAAGATTAAATGAGCTAAAATATTATCATTTAAAAAATGTTATACAAAAAAAATTACAAAACTTTTAAAAATAATCTTGCATCTTAAAAAGATAGAAAAGTAAACTTCAGATAAAAAAAAAATAATACTAAAAACACGTTAAAATAAAAAAAAATTAAAAATTATTTTAAGACAATATTCACGTTAAAACTTTCAGTCAGGAACATCAAAGACATTTTTCTTTCACTATGGAGATAAAATCTTCTTCAGTCATCTATACCTCAAAGAAACTAGTCTTAACAATCAAGTTGTCACACGTTAAAAAACCAAATAAAGATATGGAAGTGAGCAATTTATTACCCCCTTCCAGAAGAGAAGCATGTGTTTATATATAATATTGCTTCATTCAAGGGCTAAGAAAAAATGGAGATAAAGATAAGAAGCTATCAAACTATTGTTTATTCCCTCAATGTAACTTATATTACAGCCCTACAGTTGAAGGGCAAGAGGGAACTCCATCACAAAAGGGGAGAAGCAGAAGGGTTCACAACAATGTGCCTAAGGGGGTGTGCAACATCTCCACCACCGGCATGCTTTACAAATTCAGCTGGAGAGAGGAAGTTTCCATGGCACACACACATGATCCTCACTTCCTCCCCTTTACCATATTTGTACAATATTCCCTCAACTCTTCTTCCATTAGGACCATCACCTTTTGTAAACACACAAGGCATGTCCTCCATTGTGTTTGTCCCAATTTCCCTCCTCATTATATTTTGGGAAGAATGAGGTTTCTTAGATGGATTCTCCATCTCAGCTTTGGATGTTCTGGTCACATTCTCATTTGCCTTTGTCCCTGGACCCACAGGATCCTGACTGCTTCTTTCTTGCTTTGAATGATTACTAGCAGGGCTTCTTGCTTCACCACAACTACCAGATCCAGATCCTGTTATGTAGAGCAAACTACATAATCAAATAGGATCCTTTTTCTTAAAATTATTTGGTGTTCGATTTCCATTCATTTCTATCTTCTTTCAGCTAAATAGTAAAATATATACAACCATAAATTCTATGTTAAAAATTACATAAAATATCATAGTCAAAGGTACACATGCTCCAACATCATAAAGAAACAAATTCCAATATCATAACATGTTTTATAGAAAAGGTCAGCACAAAACAAAACAAAAAAAGATGTAGGATTCAAATGCTGGAAGTGTTATTTGCTCCAAGCCCAGTGAACTTTTACTTTTCATCCTTTCTCTTTTCTAAATTTATGTTGTTTTTTCATTCACCAATAAGTAGTAAACAATAAGAATCTCTGTAATATCATGCGAAGGTTTAAGCATCAATAGTGAATATTTAGAAAGTAAATGAACAAACTTAAGAAACAATAAAGAATCAATAGTGAATATTTAGAAAGTAAATGAACGAACTTAAGAAACAATAAAGAATCAATAGTGAATATTTAGAAAGTAAATGAATGAACTTAAGAAACAGCAAAGAAAGGTTCATTTCACACAAATTATTTATTGTATTTCTGACATAGTATTTCAGCAAAAATAAACTATTCTAATGCATGCACATGCACATGCACGCACACATGTAGGGTTTAAAAAAAAATCTCATGTCATGTTATGGATAAGATTTACACATGACAGGGAATTTCTAATGAAAGCAAAATTTGTGCTATACCATCAACAAAGAATGATAACAGTGAAATAGAATGTTAAGAACTAAGAAGGATTGGTGACTATTTATGAAATTGCCTATCCACAAGTTACAGGTTGTTATCCTTCAGTAATATATATATGGCTATGTCTGAAGAGTGAAATTATCCTAAGTGACATTTTCTGTCACAAACATGTCAAAATAGTCTACTAGCATTAGCTTCAGCTTGTTACTCACATATGTTAAATCATAATAATTTTAAAGAATACCTTGTTAAATGAAACTATTATGCCACATGTTGAACCACATATTTTTGTTTAGAGATGTACTCAATCAAATCTGTCAGGACATATTTCTACACAAAGAATTCATTGTCCTATTTATTCAAACCAAGTAAAATAGATAAAAGATAACTGTGATCACAAGATTCAAAAAAATCATAACAACAAAGGATAAGACAAAATAGAGAGAAAAATGACAGAAATCTGTAGCAAACAAGAATGGCAAGTCAATATTACAGTGATTTTGCAATACCAGTGAACATGCACACAAACACAAACCATCTAGCAGAAATTAGCATGCCATTTGAAACTGTCTCATAAAGCTCAAAAACTAAAATAGAGCAAAAAGTAGTATCGTTATCATTATAAATGTTCTTGCCTAGACATAGGTATAAAAAAATTTTAAGAATCAAGTTATAGGTTTCATGAATTTAACCAAAATTCAGATTCTATAACATCATCTAATGTCTGCTTCGACTATGAACACCCCAGGCATTATAGGGGTCCTTAAACATTTAGAAATCAGATTCGGACTGTATAAAATCCAAATCTCAATACCTCACATGTCAAGGTACAAATAGAAAACAAAGAATTAAATTATATTTTTCCCTAATTTAAGTTTATTGGAACGCATAAAAGGTGTAAAAACACACTCTTGCTAGTTGAATATCAAAAACTATTCAATTCCCTTACAAGCAACTACTTTACTCACCTAGGTACTCTTTAAGGAACAAATGACAACAGAATAAAATCTTTCATATTATTTCCATCATCACCCTTGTTAGTAAGCAATTCACATAATCCAGTTAAGAGCAAGACACCCATCAGAATATACAGAAATCACAAACAAACATCAGAAAAAGTCAAAAGGTTACTCACTATTGCAAACAAGAGAAAATTCAACTCTTACACAGAAACAATCAATTACCTAAAAAAGCCTTGCTATCCATTTCAGACAGCGATGAAGAGCTCCCCCCTTGTGAATCCGCCGAGCCCTGAGAACATGGCTGCCCAAACAACCCTTGAAAGCCTTTCCCTTTCCCCATCACATCGCCAAGAACAACCTGTTTCGCAGCCGGACCCCACATCAGACCTGCCGGTGGCGGCACCAATCCGTACCTGCTCAACCCCATTGGTGCACCTCCACCCTCCACCTCCTCTCCGCCACCGCTGCTGGCGGAAACCTCCCGGGAGCCTCTCTGCTTCACCGATCGCCGCCGCTTGGCCTCCATCCGGCGCAGGGTCTGCATCTCCTTCCTCCGCCGCCACTCTTCCTCCGTCTCCGTGGGCAGCGAGGTGGTCCTCATGAGCGCCGGAAACGATGCAGGCGGCGGCGCCACAGCGTCGTCCTCCCGAAACAGAGGCATTGTCCCCACCACAGAAGAAGAACGCATAAGCTTTGTCTTCTTCGGGTTCTTATCCACCCCAAACCTCCCACCCAAAGAGAGACCAAGGTTCAACTCAACCTCTTCATCATCATCCTCCTCCTCCTCTTGTTTCATTGCAGTAACATTAACATTAAGCCTATTGCTATCATCACTCACGCTAACACTACCCATAGAAAACCCTCCAAGCAAATCCCTCGGATGCTTCTCCATCTTCTCACACACACTCTGATTTTGATGCTGATTCTGGTGATGATAATAGTGGAGGCAGTGATTGCTGTTAATACTGTCATCCATAAATGCTTGTTACGCTAGCGAACAACATAGAACATCGTGAAGTAATAACAGTTGTTGCTCTATCTCTCGGTCACAAAACCAGCGTGTTCAGAAAAGAACAAGCTTTGCTGGGGTGTCAAAGGATTCAAATCAGCAAAACCCATGACACGAAGCATCAAATGACGCCAAAAACAACCCACCCTGGATCGCAAACAGGGGAAAAAAATTCAAAATTTAATGCAAATTCAAAAGAATCCGAGTCAACCAAGAAGCAAAGCAACTCCTCCACCAACCAAAACCAAAAAAAAAATAAAAATAAAAAACGGTTTTTTAATCTTTTTGTTGCGCGCAGGTCGTTGTTTCGGGTTAAGAATGCTGCAACACGGAAGAGAAAAGAGAAAAAAATTGTGGAGGGAAGAAGAGAGGAGAAGAGAAAGAAGGAGGAAAATGAGATGAGTTTTGTTTGAAAGAGGATGAAATGAAAAGAGAATAATATTTATCCGATGACGAAAATGCCCCTGGGATGTGACTGGTAGAGTGTGGAGGAAGAGACAAGTGGGTGTCGCGAAGGGAGAGCGCGTAGGTGCCACGTGGAGAAGATGTTTGATGTCGATGTCAAGTGGGACACGTGTCATGCAGAGGGTGGGCTCAGAGGAGACACCACGTGTCAGTCAAGATCCCGGGAGGGAAAAGGGGACGCGTGGCTTTAACGTTAATAATGATTTGATTTGATTTATGGAAATGGGGTGTGTTTGTCCTCGTATCGTATCGCTGCGGCTCTCTCTCTCTGCTGTGATAGGTGTCGCGTCCTGTTAGGTCGCATACAGTTCCCACTTTCTCCAATTCGTCAACCTCACTGCCACCCATGTGCTGCTCACCTCAACAATAACATTAGCTGTACACCATCATTATTAAATACTACTTTTTCCAATAAATAAATAAAATTTTTAAATCTTATTCACTGACACGTGTTTCATTTTTAAAAATACAAATAATATGTTTCATTTTATTTTAGTAGAGTAAAAATAGTGAAAGAAATATTAACTTGTCTAAAATTATTTATTTATTACGGTTTTTTATAATCATGCTGTCAGTGCAAGCTTTCACGTTTCTCTTCCTATTTACTTTACATTATCATTTCTTCTTAAAATTAGAGGGATTGACATGTGTTGCAAAGCTTTTCTTTCAATGAATAAGATAAGATAATTAAATACAATGTGTTTGAAAAAATAAATATGGCGTGTTTGTTTATGAGAAAAAAATATTATTACTATGATATATTTTGATTAAAATAAAAAAATATAAAGAAGATATGAATAATACTATATTTTATTTTATTAGATAAAAAAATGAAAAGAAGTATTGACTTATGAAAATAAAGTTGATTTTTTTTAATTTTATTTTCTTTTCAATTTAAATTTAATGTTCTTTTTCTTTTTCTTTTCTCCTCTTTCATTTTTCTTTAAAAATTAGTACATCTTATATCATGTGTTTGATAAGCAGGAGAAAAAAAAAAATAACTAATTATTTTTATAATTTTTATCGATCTACAATTTTAGTCCTTTTATTTTAAAATAAATATATTTAAATGGTTAATTTTAAAAGTACAAAATTTTGATCTTCTAGTCAAATTAATATTTATTAATCATTAAATTTTAAAATTTATAAATACATAAATGATGTGATATTTAGTAACATTTAAAGATAAAAAATGTAAATAATATTTATTAATAAAATAAATATAAATTACTTGTTAAAATTGATATAAACGAAGATCTTTTGTATATTATTATTGATTTTTATTTTTATATTTCATGTCACTAAATATCATGTCATTTAAATAATAATAAATTATTAGATAATATAAAAATTTAATAATAAATAAAAATTAAATTAATGAAATGACTAATATTTTATATTTTTGAAAATAGAGAGACTAAATATTATTTTTTTAAAATAGAGAAATAAAAATTATAGATTAATAAAAAAACTAAAATATAATTTAGCTGAAAAAAATCTTATTTTATTTGATCAGAGAAAAAAAAGGGGGGAAGGGAATAAAAATATCTATTTCTATAAAGTAAAAGTTGAAAAATCTGTCTTTTCTTTCTTTCTAATTTCATTTTTTTCTCTTCTGTTCTATTTTCTAAACATATTATTCTTTTTAAATTATTGATATTTTTTAATATGCTGATATGTTTTTATTTGTCTAGATCACGTGTATCCACGTATATTCTTCATTAGTATCTTTTAATGTATCATGAATTCATGATATGTTTGATTAGAAGAAGAATAGGAAAGAAAGAAAAATTGTTGATAATATATTATTTTATCCCATCTTATTAGAGAGAGAAAAAAATATTGACTTCTATTTTATCCCATCTTTTCTTAATTGTTAAATATTATTTTAATAAATTATTATATTTTTATTTAGTCTCTTTTAAAGAAAATACATTAATTAAATAATGCATTAAATAAATAAATATATATATATATAGATATATTACCAGTGCCTTCAAAATCAGTGACTTCCTTTTATATATATTTAGTTAAAATTACTACACAAAAAGTTTTTTTTTCTTTTTAAATTATATTATGTTTTACTTTGTTAAAGTTGGTGTCATCTCTGATGCAGATTTGGTTGTGTTGCAGCATCCTTAGTCATGCATGAATAGTTTACTTTTTTGCTGATTCTTTGAGACTATTTTTATCTCATTGTAATTTATTTTCCTTTTGACTTTTTATTTTTTTTATTTTTCATGTACAAAAAAAAACATGTTTTCTCTTTCAATAATTTTAATTTATCAAAAAAATTGTTAGACAAACAAGAAACTTTTCTATTGATTTTATTTACTTTGATAAATTTATTTTTATATAAATTTATTATTATTTTATCATTCAAATTAATGAATTTTAGTTCCATCAAATAATTTTTTACTCGTTTTGTTGACCACAGTCATGGCTTTCTATTTTGAATTTTGAAGCGTTACGATCATTAAATATCCCTCTTCATGTATCTTTTCACATTCTATTTATATTTATCATCATTTTAACATTCAAATTAATTTATTTTAATTCCACCAAATAAGATTTTTTTTCTTCCTTTTATTGACCATTGCCATAGCTTCTTATTTTAAATTTTGAAGCATCACATTCATGTCCCTCTTCATTGCATCTTTTCATATTTTATCTAACAAGTTTTTTTTATTTTTTATTTTTTTAACCAATAAGTAATTTGTGCATATGTAGAGTTGAGTCACCTTATTTGTATATTATTTTTTTTGTATAACTTATAAAATAGGTATTTTTATAATATTTATGTTTAATAAGTATTACAATTTTTGTTGTTAAATTCATAATTTATTTTTTCTGAAAATTTGTTTTGTTTACAGAAATAATAATAATATAAAAGTGGAGAATAGGAAAAAAATAAACAAATCTAAATACATTGATAATAATCTATACTATATATAAATGTTATATCACTTTTTGATTTTCATTTTTATTAAAACTCATTTATCTTTAAGTTATTTATCTATATTTGTTTTTAAAAAAAATTATTTTTACCTCTAGTTGTCATTATAATCAAAGACTTTTTTAATAACTGCACATTATCTTTACAATAACAACCAATGATGAATAATTGTTTTCTTTCATTAAATAAAATCACCACTTCTATCATTTTGACATTTTTGTTGTTTTTTATTTTTTGAACAAATATGCAAAGACACATTGTGTATCTTTTTCTCTTCTATACTATACCATACTATATATGAAGGGTATATTGATTGTATAATTTATTCTTGATCTCCACTTTTTTTTTTTATCTCATTATACTTCCTATAATTATTTTATCTTCAATTTATATTTTTGATGGACATGATAATTTATATAAAATGTAGATTTCATTTATAGCGACAAATGTTTAACATCTAAGCAGCACACGTGAATCAAGGATTCACATACTAAAATAACAAAAAAAATATTAAAATAACAAAAGAAAAACTAATTTACCTTTCTTTCATTCTTTTCATATGGATAGTTGTTTCATACCAGGGTGAATGAAAAACTCCCGCAATATTTTTTTTATTTTATAATATGATGTTAACAATTTTTTTTTGTCTTAATATCCCCTTATGTACTTTTTTTCTTCTTCTTTGTACCTATTTATTTCATAATTAAACAAGAGGCAGTCTCACTAAGCATTATCTTCTAATTTTATGACTACCAACCTTATATTAATTTCATAACCTTTTTGATTGATCTAAATTTTTTAACATTATTGAGCCAAACTTTTTGTTTTATTTTATAATTAGGAAGATCATATGTTCTTAAAGTGTTAATGATTTAGTTGGAAATGCTTCAAATATTTGATTGTCTATATTTTTTACTTGTTAATTGAATATGAACTTTGACATTTCCTTTTCTCACTTGAAATAATTTAAAATCAATATAATTGATAAAAACTCAAAAATATATCTAAGATTAATATTAAGTTTGCATTCAATTAACATATTCAATGAAACAACTAGAATCAAAGATAGAACACAATAACTAATTTGATTGATGGTCTCAATGGTGGATGTCAGAATAGCTTTAGATTTCAAAAAAAAACTTATTAATTTTCATATTGCTAGTTAGGTTGTATGATCTAAACATGGTAGTTGTAAAATCATTAATGTTATTAAAAACTCTTGTGCAATATCAATGGAAACATAATCATCATTTAGTTAATATATTTTTCCATTTCCGATATCTAATATTCGTTGTGAAAATTGATTGAGTTTTAAAGTACTTATGTTCATTATAAAAAATTTTTTTGTAGAGACACATATCCTATAGTGACACAATATTTGTCATTAAAAATTACTTTTACTTACAATATATGTTGGTATGTATTAGATCAAAGGACGGTTTTGAACCCCTTAGGAATATGAGTTTCAATGTGTACAAAACTTAAATGTTTTTGGTAAAGAAATGCTATTCAAATCATATAAGATAGATGGTTGGTTATGATGACATTTATTCTTTCATATGGATCATTTTGTCTATATAAGACAAATGCATTAAATATATCATTTATAATGTTATGATAACTAAATTATCTATGTCTATGTTATTCCTTAATAGATTGAAGGAATAAAAACTTCTTTTGGTACTTGGGACTTAAGAAAAAAAAAATGAAGATTTGCTTTTCATCAGAGAAAGGACAAACATGTATCCTGAACTATGGGAAGCCTCAGATAAAGTCATTTTTGACTGACACATGCAATAATTCCTCTTGTTTTGTACCTTAAATGTGATAAGTAGTCTCTTTAATAAGACAAAAAGTGACAATTTGGTGAAACACATTTAATACAACACCAAACATGTTAGCCTACAAGGAAGGAAGACAAAGAAAGACGAAGCAAGCCTGCAAGTGAAGCTCGAAGATTTGCAATGATCATCTTTATAA